CACTCAGAGAAAGCCACACAGACCAGACTGAAAACAGAGGAGCCGCCTGCAACAGCAAACTCACAGGGAGCCTGTGTAAGGGTTCCCAAGAGGGGCTGCTGAGTGTGCAACCGACTTGCTGGTTCAAAGCGACGTCGGGCTCCAGTGCTTAGCCTACAACGCCACACCAGGACTCATAGTCCAAACCCTAACTCCTACCCCACCCACAAATTAACTTTGTTTTTTAATTCAGCAAGGATGCCTTTCAAACACAATACAGAATTTTTTCTAGTTTTCTTCTGCTTTTGTATTCTTGCACTTCAAGGCCGAACACAGGTTTACGCTTTTGGGGAAGGAAAGCTGAGAAGCCACCAGAGCTCTGTCTGAGCTCTTCCATAGACCTTCGGAGCCGAAGTCCAAACGTCACAATTCTAGGACAAGCAAGGACGGTGCTTGTTGCCACATGGTTTATGACTCACTCTCTCTGGGCACCTCGTGTGGGCCTGGCACTGGACACATGCCAGGATGGTGTCCCTTATCCCCTGGGGGACTCAGGGAGAGCAAAGGTCAGTTTTGCAAGCACAGAGCCTAGTGGCCAAGAGTCGAAATTCTGAAGGATCCAGGCCAGTGGCCTTTGTGAGGCCAAACAATGCCTATGACCAGGTTCCCATCTCCGCTGGCCAGGGCAGGGCACCTCAAAGGTACAGCACTCCTAGAGAGGGTGCTTACTCCTGTAAGCACACAGTAGTCCTCATACCCTGGTCCCCTGGCTGACCACCAGGGAGAGGAGTGCTGACCACCAGGGAGAGGATGAGAGTCAGAAAGGACCTAGACACGGGGAGGCGCGGGCTGGAAGGGCAGCAAAGCCACCTTAGCAGGATGCACTGTGGAGTGGTCTCTGACAGACAGACAGCAGGGAACAGGTCCCTGAGAGGGCAACAGCGGTGGACAGACCCCCAAGGCAGACAGTGAGGAGCAGGTCCCAGACAGAAAGCAGGACACAGGTCTGCGAGATGGATAAAGGCCCGCCCCAATCCCACCACTTGAGCTCCATAAAGCAGAGACACCAGAAGAGGAAGGCAGAGGCTCCGGTGGACATGGGCCTGCAGTCCACAGGGCTGGCTGCTCTAGCCTGGGACTCCAAACGAGGACCTTCATCCCACAGCCCGGGAACGGGGTCCCAGGGTTCTATGTTAACAGGAAATGGGGACCTCAGTTCTACAACCCAGGAAGAGGTCCTATAGTAGCAAGCCAAGCTAACAGGAGGAGCTGAGGCACCCAGAGCCCCGCCTGAGGAGCAGCCACCTTGCCCAGGTGTCTCTGAGCTGACTGCCCTTCAGAGCAGATGGGACACAGGCCGCCCTCCGCATGTCTCTGTAAGTCTGGACGTGTCCCTCAGGGAACAGCTCTGACCCAAAGTAACCCACGGGCAGCAGCCCACAGTGCCGCCCAGCCCCAGCCGTCCTCACAAAGCAAGCAGACCCCATAGATAGATAGGATGAAGACCTACCTACACGAGGCCCCAAACACCTTCAATTTCTGAGAGTACCAGTACCCGTCCACATACCCAAATAGGGACCACAGTATCACACAAGGGGGCTTGACACATTTTGTGGAAGATTCCACGACCTTTTTCATTCCATTTTTTTCATGCACTTTTTCACACCCCTTTAAAGCCCCTATGAAAGTGACCAAAATAAGGGTCAGAGGCTTTACCTGGAAGCATGATCCTTAAAATTATGAAAGCAAGTCCACACCACTCTTCACCCAGGTTGTAACCGTGCGCTGCTCCCACCAGGGCCCAGCAGGCTAGCTGATCCCAGCGGATGCAGGCTCCCCCACCCAGTGTCCCATGAGAGACTGCTAGGTCCGCACACATGTGGGCTGGGCCCTCCACCTCCACCAGGTCTGTCTCGCCTCTGCTCACCCACCTCTGCTCCTCCCAGTGACTCTGCCATCCAGCTGCCCTCCACTGGACGCTGGCCAGAGGTCCTGGTGGGGCTCTCAATGTCACTACACAGAGGGGGGGAGGCCAGCGCTCATTTCTCAGTGGGGAGGAAGGTCAGTAGTGACCATCCCTATAGGGGACACCTCCTGCTAGCTTCTGAGAGCTCCTTGGGGGAGCCCTGGTGTCGCAGTGGGTTAAGAGTTGGGAGAGAGATGAGGGAGTCTGTTTCCATAGGCTCACAGCCTGGAAACCCTGGGGGCAGGTCTCCTCTGTGCCTGGGAGCCGAGTGACATTTACCAGCAGGAGTGTCACAGGGAAGGACAAGCAGCCGGTGGAGGAAACAGGAGTCCCCACCAGGTACGTGAATGGACACCTGCCCCCATGAGCTCGTCTCCAACCCTTTCCAGAAGGCGGCCCAGGCTCACTCTGGAGTCCCACCCAGCTCAGAGTCAGAGGAGAGAGAAAGCCTTCTTTGTACCTACCCCAGGTGAAAGAGTTAGAGAAGCTGCCCGACCCCCACTGCAGACCACCTGTGCCTTATAGGGCATCCATCACAGGCTCTCCACCACTCTTCAGAGGAAAACAACACAGCCCTTTTAGGAATAAAAAGTGGGGGGACCCTGACGGTTCAGTGGTGAAAGCGCTAGGCTGCTAACCAAAGGAAGTTCCAACACTTCAGCTGCTCTGCAAGTGAGGGCAGCGGCAGTCTGCCCCCTTAGTGAAGAACCACCTCAGAAATCTAAAGGGTTGCTGGGAGTCAGAGTTGATGGCAAGTGAGTTTATTAGGAAGCAGGTTTAAGAAGTAGCCCTCGATATCCAGCTACTAGTGCGGATCTCTAGGTATTTGTGCTGTCTCTAATGCCCAGAATGCACTGACAACCAACCCATGTTGTCATTGTTGTTGTTAAGTGCCATCAAGTCGGTTCTGACTCATAGTGACCCTGTGTAGGATTTCCAAGAAGCAGCTGATGAGTTTGACCCTCCGTCCTTGCGGTTCAAATCAGCCTTATGATCCAGCACTTATCCCACGGAGGAAAAAGCAATCTATGTTGTTGTTAAGTGCCGTCGGGTCAGTTCCTACTCATAGCAACCGTGTATAGGGTTTCCAAGGAGCGGCTGGTGAGCTGGAATTGCCGACCTTTCAGTTCCAACCAACTTTGTGGCCTTCCAAATCAGCATGAATTTATGTCAGGAAAGGTTACAACTTTGACAGGAAACCTATGCACAAATACTTTATTTCTAGGTGCCAGGAAGCACAAAAAAGCTGACGTCCACCTGAGCCACCTCCACCCCTGGGGGGGGGGGGGGGGAAGGGAGTGTCCGTGCCACACTAAATGGAAGGAAGACCCTCTCTAGTCTGCAGTGAACATGCCTTTAAAAAGATGGTATTTTCCAAACATGTACTGCTCTTGGGAAGAACATGAGTGGACAAGAAATGTCTTTACTTCCTTTGAATGCTACTGACCAGTTTTAAAATACTGCAGATGGCACATTTAGAATTAATTACAGAATAAAATTAAATCATTAAAAAATCATGTCAAAGTTCAACGTGGTTACATCGTATCACTCCACAATTAGACATCTTTTAAAGGGAAACTTGTTTTAAAGGAAGAAGTTAACTGGGTGGGTACCTTCCACCTGAATCAAGCTTCTAACTACATGAAATCATTCTTGGATTTTGCTTACATAAGATTCCATTCCTCTTTGTACCCTACTTTGGCAAAGGGCCCTTAATCTGTCGGGGGTGGGGGATGGGGCGAGGGTGCGGAGGTCCATTTCTCCTCCCAGCATCCAGAGGATGGCAATGAATGCTGCACAACTGGGATTCAGTACCCGCTTGCTTGCCCAATTACTTCCATCATCTGGCACTACGAAGGATTAAAAACGTTTAAAAAAATCTGTGCAGTTGGGGCCATGGCCTTTTTCAACAGCCTGCCTCCACAAAGAGTGGCCTGCAGTAAGAAGCCAGTGCCACAACACTGCCCCCTGTCCCCCACACACTCCATCTACTGACCAGTGCCCAGTGTCAGCCTGAACCCCTCTGGATGACACCCCCACCTTCTCCCTGGGATAAGAAGTCCCCACAGCCCCCAGAGCCATCACTACCTCTGATTGCACACCTGCCAGTCCCACTAATCCCTTGATAATGTCCCCTCCCAGAGAGCTCCACAACCCACTCCCCTGGAATTCTCTCCCACCATACACACCTATGGGGACTGGTATCCCCTCCCCACCCCCTCAAAAAGATGCCCCCATGACAGCCCCTCGTCCAGGACGACAGGCTTCTCGCAGCACTCACACCAGGGAGGACACCCCCCAGCCCAGCCAGCTCCTCAGTCCCCATCACTCCTGGATGATGCCGTCCAGCCCCACTACACTACCCCTTCATGCCCTCCCCATGGCACCCCCGGGTGACACCCCCCTATGGATGCAAACCCCACCCCACCCACATTCTCCCCTGAATGACCTCCCCCATGCACCCTTCCAAGGCCCCACCTCCTCCTCACTAGGTAGTCACCATGAATGCTCCCCTATGGATGATGACCACGCATGACCACCTCAGGGACATCCCGCAGTACTCCCCCCATCGATGCCCCACCCTGGACCCCAATCTCCCCCATAACCCACTCACCTCGGCACTCCCTTTAGGATGACTTCCTCCATGGATAATCCCCCTGGGTGACCTCCAGAACTACCCCATGGAAGCCCACCCCAGCCATAGTCGCCACTGGATGATCTCCCCCAATGGACGCCCCCCATGACTCCCCTAAGGACGAGCAGCGCACTCCTAGTGGCGAACACCCCATGGACCCTCCCCACCCATTCACCCCTGGATGACCTCCCCTGGATGCCCACCCCCGCCGCACTCCGCCCCCCAGGGTTGACACCCGTGGAATGACCCCTGACCACCGGCAATCCAACCCTATAACATAACACCCCATGGATAATCCCCCTGGGTTACCTCTCATGGACCCCCCGCGGGATGACCCCTATGGATGACCCCAATGGACGCCCCCCATGGACGCACTCCCCCGGGTGACCCCCGCGGAACGACCCCGGGCGGCACACTCACCCTTGGATGCCCGGGCCGTAGGCGCGGCTTTTCCACGGCGTGCCGGGCCGGGCCGGGGGGCTGGCGGGCCCCGCTCCGCCGGACTCGGCCGTGCGGTCGCCGGAGAGCAAGTAGTTGAGGCCGTAGGTGCTGGCCTTGTTGTCGCGTTTCCGGCGGCCGGGGTGGAAGTGGTGCG